TTTATCTAACTGCAAAGTGAATTTAAGAGTAGCTTTGAGGCTTGGTTGGGTGGTACAGGCCTGTAATCTCAGTAACTAGGAGGCTGAGGCAGGAGGATCACAAGTGAGGCCAGCCTGGGCAACACTGAGACCCTGTTCCAAAACAAAAAACAACAACAACAACAAAAAAATGAAGCTGGGGGTGTTACCCAGTGGTAAATAAAGCACTCCTGAGTTCAATCTCCAGTACTTGAAAGAAAAAGAAAAAGAGCAGGTTCTAGAGGCATTTTTGTTTTAAAACTGATTCTTTTAAGAAATGCTGCATTATAGCCAGGGACAGTGGCACATACCTGTGACCCCTGCTACTTGGGAGGCAGAAGCAGGAGGTGCACAAGTGAGACCAAACTGGCAATTTAAAGAGACCATATCTTGGGCTGGGGCTGGGGCTCAGTGGTAAAGCGCTTGCCCAGCACATGTGAGGCCCTGATTCAATCCTCATCACCTCATAAAGATAAATAAATAAAGAGGCCATATCTCAAAATAAAAGAAAAGGGCTGGGGTATAGCTCAGTGATGAAATGCTTGTCTAGCACTGTATGTATGCCCTGAGTTCAATCCCTATTACTGCAAAAAATACATATAAATAAATGAATTTTAAAAGCTGTAGAGATATTTCCAGCCTATCAAGATGGACATGAAATGCTAGAAATGCAGGGATACCAAGACTCCTGTCCTGATTTGAAAAAAAATAGCATTTCTTTAGAGCTCTAGCCTAAAATAGAATACAGTAGGGCTTCTCAAACTTTATTATGTATAAAAATGACCTGGGGCAGGGGTAGTAAGAGTAATCAGTGGTAGCATATGCTCAAGAGGTCCTGTATAAATAAATACAATTTAAAAATTAGAAAAAAAAAAAAAAGCCAGACAGTGGTTAAGCACCCCTGAGTTCAATACCCAAATAGGAGCCAGGTATGTGCTTTGTAGTCACTGTGACTACAAATATATAATCCCAGTGACTACACACAATCCCAGTGACTACAAAATATGTAAATAATGTAAAAATAAATTTTTAGATAAACAAATGAATAATAAAAATAAAGAGAGGCTGCACGTGGTTCTCAGTGGTACATGCTTGCCTAACATGTGCAAGGCCCTGGGTTTGATTCCCATTACTGAAAAAATAAACAAATAAATAAGTAAATAAATAAAAAGAAAAAAAGAATTATCTGGGGAAAGAAAGGAAAAATAAAAACAACCACCGAGAAAGCTTATTAAAACACAGGCCTGTAGGCCTACCCCAGAGCTTCTGATATAGATGACTGGAGACAGAGTCTGAGAATTCACGTTTCTAATAAGTTCTCATGTGATTCCGGTGATGCAGATGATTCATGTTGATGACCCCCACTTTTGATTTAGTTTTTGTTGGGGACTAAACCTAGAGGGGCTCTACCACTGAGCTACGCCCCAGCCCTTTTTATTTTTTATTCTGAGACAGGATCCAAGTTGACCATGCTGGCCTCCAATTTGTGATCCTTGTGGCTCAGCCTTCCAAGTAACTGGCGTTTTAGGTATGCACTACCACACCTGATCTTTGTATTGCCTTATCCCTCATTCTAGACTAGCTTCAGACCTATCACCTAAATTGGTTCTAGATGAATGATTACTTCCTCCTCCCTATATTGATTCAAACAATTAACATTTCCATGGTATAAGACACCATGAAAGACACTGTATATACCAAAATGGAAAAATAAAGTCAGATATGATGCCACAATCAGGGATTATACTGCAGGCATTCCTTTTTCCACCCCTTATTATCCGAAGGTAATACCATTTGCATTATTCATCTATACAAGATATCAGACCATTCTATCCCAAAGTATTACAGTTTTTGCTCTCAACATACCTATTTCTCGAGCAAGAATAATACTGCTGAGGCGTATGGGTTGGGTAGATTCAGCAATAAGTACAGCTCTTTGGGAACATAAGGTGCCATTTTCATATAAAGGCTCAACAGTTACTGCGTCATGATGGGTGGAATGCCTGCCAGAACAAAATACTTCAGAGTGTAAGATACATGGGTCAAAGCTAATTTTTTTGAAGAGATTTCTATATATCTTCCATTTTACATACTACCGGGCAAACTAAAATGACACTCTTTAAAGTAGGAACATTTGCTGGGCACAGTGGCACCGGCCTATAATCCCAGGAATCAGGAAACTGAGGCAGGAGGATGGCAAGTTTGAGGCCAGCCTCAGCAATTTAGCAAGACCCTCAGCAACTTAGCAAAACCCTGTCTCAAAATAAAAAATAAAATAAAAAGGACTGGGAATGTAGTTCAGCAGCAAAGCACCTTTGGGTTCAATCCCCAGTATCAAAAAAAATAAATAAGTAAAGTAGGAACATTGATTAGGGACACAGGATCAAAATGGGAGAGATGATCAGAACTTTTTCCCAGTGATCTTTTGTGCAATGTCCCCTAAATTATATTCTTCCCTCAAAAGTTAAAATAAGATCAATGTTAAAATAAGATTAATTCATCGATGGAGTTAGAGAAGATAATGCTAAGTAAAGTTAGCCAATCCCAAATAACCAAATGATGAATGTTTTCTCTGATATAAGGAAGCTGATTTATAGTGGGATAGGGCGAGGGAGCATGGGAAGAACTCTAGATAGGGCAGAGGGGTTGGAGGGGAAAGGAAGGGCATGGGGAATGTGAGGATCATTATTATCCAAAGTACATGTATGAAGACACGAATTGGTGTGAATATACTTTGTACACAGAGATATGAAAAATTATATTCTATATGTGTAATAAGAATTGTAATGCATTCCAATGTCATATATAATTTAAAAAAAAAAAAAGATTAATTCTTCCCTCCATCTGTAAAAATAGCACTGATGTTATATTTCCAGGACTGATGTTATATTTCTGAGAGACAGGACTTTCCCATACTTTAAGAAATGATTTTTTCTAATCCTAGAAACTGGGCTGCTATCTTAGATGGAAAAGTTGGCTAAATAATGAGGTGTGAATCCAACACAAAATGCCAAAAAAATTAATTAATATTTCTGGAAGGACGGAAGAAATAGTTTTCAATTCTGGGAAGATTCCTTTCATCATCCTCTGAGTCAGGAAATACATCACACTGGGTCACTTTATAAGCCTAATTCCCTTACTTCCTCATAAAATGAAAGGTGAATTTCTTGGAAAACACCTCATTGCTTCTTTTAAGAAACAGTAAAGGGAAATCTACTCCATTTAGGATGAATGCTCTGGTGTCTTAGAGCTCACTTTAGTTGGGTTCCCTCACTGCTTGGATAACCACAGAACTTAATAGGTTCTTCTCTCACACCACAAAATCACGTCTTTCCATCTTTAGTCAAGGTCACTCAATATTCCAGAGTTGAGAACCCCTTGTCCTCAAATTTCCGGCGAGGCTCCTTGAATAAGGGCGACAACTTTCATGTCCCGGGCAGCTCTCCCCTCCACACCAGATGGTCTTCCAGGAGGCTTTACCCTTTCGTGGCCTCGAGCGCCGGTTTCCTCATAAACTGGGGACCAACAGTACTGCTCCAGACTGAACAAAGTCGGTCGGTTAACCCAGGAAAAGCGCTTGGTTCCGCGGGGTTCCAGACCCTCTGTGGGGAGCAGCCGCAGGGGACCTTCCCTCCCGGAACCAACCCGTTTCCTGACCCAACAGCTCTCGCGCGGGTAGGGCACACCCCACGCAGAAGGTGGGCCTGTCACGCCCGGCGACCGCGCAGCGCTCCTGTGGGATCTCACGGAGCCGCGCTCCGTCCTCGCTGGGAGGGACGGGGTGCGTGAGGACAGACCCCACCATCCCTCACCAGATGTAGCAGCCCCGCTGTGCCTCCAGCAGGAAAGGCACCCGGCCTGGCTCCCGGCCAAAGGGCAGCAACACCTGCGGCACGTTAAGTTTGTTGGCGAGGGTCCCAAACAAGGCCAGTGACAGGCACAGGAGGCGACCGAGAGGCACGCAGCAAAGGAGGACCGTGGCTCCGAGGTTTATCATGGCGACCGTCAGGCCTCAGGTTCCCGCACCGCCAGAGCGGCGCGTCCGCACCCACAGCAGCCAATCGGAAGGCTCTACGTCAACAGGAGGCGGGATCTCTGGCCGGCTGGGAATTGTGGGAATTCAACACTTAGGCCTTCCCCAACTTTTGCTTAAGTTTTAGGAACTTAAAGGACTCCGTTCCTAGATTTGCACTTCCCAGTGTTGGGAGTGTAGCTCAGAGTGCTGGCCTCGCGTGCTTACCTGCTTAAGGCCGGGGTGGGGGGTGTTGATACCCAGAAAACCACCCGGCCCCCTGCCAAAAAAAAAAAGTATGGCAGGTTTTTTCAATAGTAAGGAACAAGCAGAAATGTATAAAGAACATTTCTCCAAGCTTCTCGTTCCGTTGTCTATTGTTTGGCTCCTAGATATATATATATATATATATATTTTTTTTTTTTTTTGCAATAATTTCCAGTCAGTACTGTTCTATGCCTGTAAACGGAAAAATTTCCAGTCTATAAACAGCTGGACTTTGTCAAGGGAGCTCTGTAATTTTAACTAGGAAGTCAGATACACATCACACTTCAAGGCCAGAGTGCAGGAAATGCCAGTCTCAAAGGCAGCTTTGAAAGCCATCCACTCATACAGCCTGTCTCTAAGCAAATACTTTAAGAGCACTTGTTAAATTAATGTGTTTTCTCCAAATATCCAGTAAGGTATTAACTGAAAGACTTGCCTAGGAACAGTCTACTAAAACCACACACTTTATTTCCAATCTTCACTTTGCCCTGACAATACATGTTATCCCCATTTTACAAGACAACCCTAAATGATTTATATCAGGAAATACAATTAGGAATTTTGAGAGCTATGTTTTGAACCCAGTCTTTGTCTATGTTAAATCCTGTTGCTACCACCCAATGAGATCTGATTTTTAGCTCAAACCTCACAGCTCCTGTGGAAAAAAGCACATTCGGTTTAATAAATAAAACTCAAGTAGATCTGAAGTTTGGAGGGACTGGTTCTTTATTTCAAAAAGACACTTGTCAATATTCAGTATCAAAACAGTTGCACTATTGTTTGTCTTTCTCCCAACTGGCCCCAAAGAGACCACAACAAAGGAGAATACATTTTAAGCCAATAAGCTGCAGGATGTACACCTAACAGACCTCACGAAACCTCACCTAAAAAAGTGGGGATTGGGCTGGGAAAGAAACTTTGAACGTTCAGCACACTGCCAGCCCAGACTGCAGGACTCTCACAGCCAGACGAGGTGGCCAGGTACCCCACCCCAAAGATGCAGTTTCAAAATAATATAAAATTTAAAAAATTGTGTACATAAGCTATTCAAGATTCTCCAGCACTGACTGATAACAAAGCACAATGAGATGGCACTTTTAGATACAGCAGCTTCAGACCCAGAAAAGGGTGATGAGATGAGTTCATATAGCTAAATCAGTGGCCAAAACATAATTTTCTTTCTTTCTTTCTTTTCTTTCAAGCAAGCAGGAGAGCAATTAAGTGGTCACGCAAGATTAAGGGGCCCATGATCCATTCTGTGAACACTTGGGAAGTGGGTAGAGATGGGAGAAAAATTTGGTCTCAGGGCTAAGAATATGGCTCAGTGGTAGAGCATTTGCCGAACAAGCACGAGGCCCTGGGTTCAATCCCCAGCACCAGAAAAACAAAAAGTCTCAGAGGTCTCACCATGTTAATTTGGTCATTTCTGATGAAAAAAAGTAAAAAATAAGAATACAGTTGTCTAAAGATACCTTAAAGCTAAAAATAAAACAAAACCTGAATAGCAAGGTTTTTGTTTTTTGGCGAACTCCTCTTGGGATCACCTTTCTGGTTTGGCTGGTACTTTGCACAGAGCAATGAGGTTTGCCATAGTAGAGTCTTTCCCTGGGCTCTGTTTGGCTCTCAGTAAGGCAGGCCCATTCCTCTTTTCCTCCTCTATGGAGAGGGCAATAGGGACTAGGCTGGAAAGTTACCTTCCAAAAGTGAGAAGGGAATTAGATTGCTGCTTCAGAGCTATGAAATTATTTGGAATGTTTTACAAATGGTTACTGTAACAACAAAAAAAGTAATTACAAAATGTGTACATCACAACATGCTTTTAAAGACACTTTGCGTTGTGCTCACATTCCCTTAAATGCTGTTCCCAAAAGTGCTCAGCCTCTAGCCCAGCTGGAATCTCTGGGAAGAAGCAGACACAGTTTGGTGAAAAAGACAAGGGGGTAGGGCGTAGGGGGGGTGTTGAAAGGAGAAAGCAGCCTTCCAGTTAAAGATCAGCCCTCAGTTTCAAGGTCAGCTTCGGGCTGGCTGGCCTCAGGCGGAGTCAGGGTCAGAGGGAGGAGCAGCAGCAGGGCGGGACTGGGGAGCTCTACATCTCATTCAGGTCAAGCAGAGTCTGGTCCAGCATCCTTTGTGTACAGAGGTGCTCCTCTTTGGTGCATTTCAGCTTATCTAATGGGGATAAAGGAGAGAAGTTATCAAAAGTAAATTTCCGGGTCTGTTCACTCTCTGGACTTGGTCCTGCTTCAGGGAAGCTGCAGACTAAGAAAGCAGCTGCCTTCTCAACCACAACAGTGAGCCATTGCCTCACTGGGTTTGTGCAGGGCCCCTGGCTTGCCTACTGAAGTTGCAAAGTTGCTAAGTAGCTGTACTTCCTGGGGGAGGGAGTGGAGGACCTTATCAGCCATTTCCTCTCCCTCCCACACCCAACCAAGGCTTTCAATTTCAGTCACTGAAGGAGCAGGCCTGAAGCTTCAGCCATCCACTCTTCTAGGTTTTGTGCAGGGAACAAATATCTGCTTGAAAAGGTTCACTGCAGTCTAACCGCTGCAAACAAGGATGGACATATTTCTACCAGTGAAACACCAGAATCTCAACTTGAAAAGAGCATAGGAAATCCTCATGTACTACATGTTTTCTCTAAAAAGTAAAAGGGAAAGAAATAGTTGGTGGGATAAATAAACAAGCCCTCATGGCTAAGCCAAAGAAAACAAAGCCAAGAATACTATCTAAACATATACTTAGTTTTTGCAGAGCCATTAGCCAGAACTAGCCTGTGACAAGTTACTTGCAATTAAACATAAAACCAGGAAAAGGAAGCAAGAGGGGAAATATTAGGAAGAAAACTGGTGGCTAACCATCAAGGAGCACCTCATCTATTAAGCAAGCAAACCTGAGTGCTCTAAGTAGGGGAGGAAAATATTCAAACCTTCACTCAGAGAAGGTGATGGCAACAAAGATCCATATTCATATCCCACACCCTTCTTTCCCTTCCCTTTTTTCCACCCAGTCGGAGGGGCCCATCCTTGCGCCTGCAGATGAAGCAGTTACAACATCTTGTAAAGTCAGTCTCTTTATTGTTAGAAAACATCCATGCAAAAGAACATATCCTATAGTCAGTGCACACACGGAAGAGCAGCAGTGAAACGGGAGAAAAGTTTTCACTATAATCTCAGGCCCTTTCCTTCATAACTCATCATCTCTTTTAAAGGGATAAAAATGCAGTATCCAACTGTTCTAACTTAACAATGCTGTTAGGAAATCAACAGTGTTCTAACTGCCCCGATTAAAAAGCAACTTGCTTAGGGCAAAATAATAACTTTTTAAAAGACAATCAGCTTTTTTTGCTGGGGTCCAGGTCAGTGGTTTACTGGGCATCTGTGAGCCCTGCCCATCAGTCACACAGATCATGCAGCGTTAGCTTCAGCTCATTAGAAAGCAGGCGGTTTCGCTCAAGTTGGCTGTAGAGACGCTCTGCAGCAGCAACGGAGGAGAGGAGGGAAAACAAGAGAAGGAGAGGAGAAAGAGGAGGAGAAAGAGAAAAAGGGAAGGTTAGTAAAGTACCAGAAGTAAACCTGAGTCTTTCAACTAGCTGGTTGGTATATGTAACATGCATCTGTAAGGTAGGATGGATGCAAGGAGGACTCAGACAGAGGGCAGCAAGAGTCAGTCAGTTGGTGGAAAGACCAACAGAGAAATCAGAAATTTGGACTGACAAGTTGGTTGGACAACATTTTGAGGGAGAAAAAAATCACCTCCTTCACTGTATTTATTCCCTGGGTTGAGAAACTGAGACAAGTGAAAACAGGGCAAAGAGGGAAGATGCGTTGGCTTAGAAGAAATGCATTAATAATAACCAGGGTTTGAAGGGAATGGGACGGTTGAACATTTTGCTGTAAAAGCATTCAACACAACATTACACATAGCAGATTGGGATAAATATTCCCACCCACTCAAGTCTACATTTTTTTTTTCTGGGGGGGGGGGGGTTGCTGGAGATTAAACCCAAGGGTGTTTTACCACTGAGTCACATCCCCAGCCCCCCACCTTTTCTTGAAGTGCTGGGGATTGAACCCAGGGCCTTGTGTATACAAGACAAGCACTCTACCAACTGAACTATATCCCCAGCCCCTTTTTATTTTGAGAACAGGGTCTTACTAAGTTACTGAGCATCTCGCTGTGTTCTGGCTACAAACTTATGATCTTCTCACCTCAGCCTCCAAACTCTTTGGGATTACAGGTGTGTGCCACTGTACCCAGACAAATGCTTTTTCTTGTGTGATAAACCCATAAGAGGCCTATCCAATCCATATCAATTTTCCCTTATTTTCTAAATAAACAGTGTGCCTAGTCCATGCAAAGATCTACTACTGGTGTACATCAATCAAGACTACTCTGCTCCTTATTTTCATCCTCCTTTCCAGCTATAGGTGATCACAGGATCCAGTTCTGGCCAATGAGATATAGAGGAAGAATCTGCTGGGAACTTCTTAGAAAACTTCAGCTCTCCTTCTTGCCTTAAAAATGGGAGCTAATTATTTTAACCTTAAGAGAATCAAAGAAACTCCAGCTATATCTTGACTATAGTCATTCATAGCTAGACCTATTAAGTGACAAAAATAAATCCCATACTTATTTATGCTACCATAATGCTTCTTCTTATAACTCAAATCATTCCTGATACAAAGAGTAAGGTGCTCAAGTCCACTGGCTTTTTTTGAGTACACCTTATGGGGGAATTGAGTTATACGGAATTCAGATACATCTTAAAACACTCAATTCTGATCTACTTCTAATATCAGCCTCTGAAGTTCATTAGTAAGTTTCTTCATATTTTATAGCTTGTTTCAAATTGATCTCAGAACCTCAATATAGAAAAGAGAAAAAGGCAAAAAGATCAGGGTGGGGACTACCAGACCAGATATTTTAACCCCAGGGTAAATGATGTCACTGAGAGAGATGGGTGGCAGCTGACAATGATGATGCCCTCAAGCTGAGAGCCTGATGAGGACCTGGGACTGACACCCCAACACTTTTCATCATCTGCTGATCCTCTGTATTTTCCTCACAGCTCTCCAACTCTACAGCCACATCTTGACTCTGGTGAGAGCCACCACTTCCCCCTATGACCTTCTCCTCACCCCAGGAAGAGCCTGCCTTGATTCCTGATCTGATCACCGTGGTCTGAGTGAGTGTGCATGCATGCATCTGCTAGACTTAAAGCCTAAAGCTTGAGACTTTTGATCTGACACTTGAACTTAGCATGCAGAAGAAATGTCTGTCATTAGCCTGTCATGATAATTGTGTTTGCAGTGCTTAGAATTAATCTAGAATTGTTTGCTGTGAAGTGATTATGTCTATTGCAGTGCCTAGCATTAAGGATTGACGTTTTCTTGAATAAGAACCTATAGAGTGAAACTGTATTGAATGATTTAAGTGAATAAAGCATTGACTAGGGCAGAAGCACATGGACATTCTTTATTTCTCCCTCTGGACTGCATAAGTTGCACCTTTTGCCCATCACAACAGCACACTATCAACACAGAAAGCATGCATATATATAAAAAAAGAGCCTGAGAAGGAATGACACTACATTTAAGAGCAAAATTAGGGCTGGGAACAGTGGCCTATGCTTATAATCTCAGTCTTAGGAGGCTGAGGCAGAGAGAGAGCAAGTTTAAGGCCAGCCTCATAACTTAGGGAGACTGTCTCAAAAAACAAAACCTCAATGGCAGAGCATTTGCCTATCAGGCGTAAGGACTGGGTAGAATCCCCAATAGGAAGAGTTGTGGGGAGGCAGAAATCAGGGTAGACTTCCTTTATTGTAATGCTGAGTACTGAACCAAGGGCCTCAAGCATGCTAAACAAGCATCCTGCTTCTGAGCTACACCTCCCTTCCCTGGAGCTTTTTTATTTTTCACATTTTTGGTACAAGGGATTGAACCCAGGGGCACTTAACCACTGAGCCACATCCTCAGCTCTTTTTATTTTGAGACAGGGTCTCACTGAGCTTCTTAGGACCTTATTAAATCACTGAGGCTGACCTCAAACTTGCAATCCTCCTGTCTCAGCCTCCCATCTCAGCTTCCTCAGTGGCTGGGATTACAGGCATGTACCGTCACTCCTGGCCCCTAGGACTTTTAAAATTTCACCCATTAAACCAGTGTGGTTTTTTTTTTTCTGTTTCTGTTCTAACAGAAAAGACAGGGTTTTGTTATATTGCCCAGGTTAGCCCCAAACTACTGGATTCTAGTGATTCTCCTGTCTCACCTTCCTGAGTAGCTGGGGACTACAGATGACTGCCACTGGCTAAGAACCAGTGGTTCTTATTGCCCCTCATCCCTCCCAGAGAATATGGAAATATATACTGATAGGTTTTTACTGTCTCAATGACCGGAAGGCTCTAAGGTAATTACTAGCCAGGGGACAGAAATATGCAGGGTCATTTTTATGTTCAAGAATTGTCCTACCCTAAATGACAAAGCTTACCATTGAGAAGCTCAGTACTAGTCTATAAACTCTAAGACTTCTGGGGCTGTACTAGTCTAATTGCTATTGCATCCTTGATAAACTTGTGAACTCTCATTTCTCAAACTGTGATGTCATATTATACATAGATCTCATTTATATCCACATTAGTTTGTGGGATTCCCACTCCTGTCTCAGGAAAGAAGGGTATTATTAAGATCTTATCCCTCAAAACAGCTTGGTTAATGAGGGTTTTGTTCCATTTAGGGAAGAAATAAAGAGACACAGGGGTGGGGTGTGAGTATTTTATTGCTTTACTAAATAAATCCAGAATGCAGAGTTCCCTAAAAACTAAGGTCAGAAAGACAAATGTCAGTTGTCATCTCACCTTGAACTTAGCTTTGAACTCTGCCCTAATAACTGGAAATTCAGGATTGGATACTAGTTCATTAAGGTTCTTGGGTCCCAGGAAACAGTAAAGCAACACAAAACAAGGCAAAGCAAAGAACCCATTGGGTCTGGTAGTTTAGCAATGCCCTATTAGAGAATCATCCTCTGGAGCCAGGCAATATTTGAACAATTTCCCATGAAAGGAGGAAACTGGTGTGGGCTAAGGTAAGCCTGTGGAACACAGCAGGTCAGTTCCTCCCTTCAGATACCTGGGTTCAGCCACACTTTGTTCCTCATCGAAACTACAGGAATAG